TTGGGTGTCAGCTATGGTCTCTTCAGGGTATATTCCCAGTAGTGGAATTGCTGGGTCAAATGGTATCTCTATTTGCAACTTTTTGAGAAAGCGCCATACTGCTTTCCACAGGGGTTGCACCATTTTACACTCCCACCAACAGTGAATCAGGGTTCCAGTTTCTCCATAGCCTCGCCAGCATTTGTTGCTTGCCTATAGTGATAAATTTATACTTTTTTTCACCAGCTATTACCTGACTGAGATTAGAGAATACTGGGAGTGGTCAGACATTTCTTGGACAATTGTCTGAGCTTCATGAGATCTTGCCTGATTCTTGCCTGAAGCCCTCTCTTCTCACGTTCCTATTTGTGCTTATTCACCTTCCCAATAAAAATTGGTTCATTTGAAATTGTATGGTTTATTATCCTTAAAAAGTTAAAAATATTAAAATAGTATATTTTATTCTATACAGGGTGTAGTTGGTGAACCTGGTCCAAAGGGTGAACAGGTAAGCACAATGACATGACTTGTGAGAAATACAGTGCTTAATGTGCGCGACTTCACACACTGGGGTGGCTGATTGGCTGGCTTGTGAGTGTGGTTAAAGACAGATGGGGGTTAACATTTTTTTCAACTCTGCTTTGTAGTGAATGAACTTAGTGTGTAGTTTGGCTTGTCGCCTTATCTGTTTTTTATAAGATAGATCTTTTGATTCAGCTTGGATTCTGGGATAATACTGTTCTTTGAAGACACTGGCCCTGTTTCCCTGCCTCACCATATTTGTTTACTCAAAACTGATGGAGTCTTTCATTGCCACACCGTAATATTTTAAGTTTTATTTATTTTTATTGAGACTTCAGTAAATAAACTATGCAGACAGGAGTAGACGAGTCTTTGCTCTGGGCTCTTTATCCTTCTCTAAGAAAACTCTTTCAAGAGTAACAGACTTCAGGAATTGCTGGTTACAGCCATTCATTCTTGACTCAGCTGAAACTGAGCTTCATCTTCTGTCTTCTTTCTTGGCAATTTTCTGCTTTGGACTATCCACTGACCACTAGACTGAAAAGTCATGCATTGCTTTTTTTTTTTTCTTTTTCACTTAGAAATGAATTATCAATGTTGACTGTTTAAAATTGACCAAAGGGACTAGTAATTTAAAAAACAATGTCACATTTTATCTGTAATTTTAGGGTTCTTCTGGTGAAGAAGGTGAAGCAGGAGGAAGGGGTGAACTTGTAAGACTTTTATTTTCTGGTTTATTATATAACCGTACTGATGTATTTATATGAACTGAAAAGAATATGTATTTTCTATATGCATTTTTCCTATTTGTGTGACACTGTATCTTTGTTGCCTTCTTAATATGCTAAGAAGCTTAGTAAATAAGGTAATCATAAAGTTTCCCAAAAATTGTGGTCAAAGTCAATTAAAGCAGAGGGAAAACACTGCATATTTGACATTTACCTATGGATCAGCCTTTAAGTATTTGTGTGTGTGTATATATAAATAATACGTTATAGAGATAATTCCCATGTGTAAAAGAACCATCTTCCCCCTAGAAGTTCGAGGAAATTTTGTTATGATTACAGAAAGGATATAAACAGTTTCCATCTTGGAAATAAAATTGACATTTTATTATAGTTAGAAAGCAGTGATTCAGTAATGTGACTGAAACTATTCACTGTGGTGTATAACTCTTCCAAGAAGTGACATGAATCTCCAGGGGCTGCCTCTGCTGGATCTCCTGGAAGGCCGGAAGAATGAGAACAAGCATCTTTACTGGGGAAACTCCTGATCTGCTGCCTCTTTGTTATTGTTTTGTCATAATGTAACATAACTAATGCTTTGGTCCTTCAGGGTATGGGCAGTAGATGTTTCCTAAACTGAGTTTTGGAAAGCTTTTAGTGTAGGAAGAGAATCTACAGTTCTTATTAATATTTTTTGGATTCAGATCTACTAAAAAAGTTAAGCTCTAAATTAGCCAAAACGCATCAACTATTAAATCAAATTAAAGAGAATTACTTAAATTTTATTTCCTGTTGAAATTGTTCTTCTGATGGACTAAAGGTGTTTTAAATCATTTGACTGTGTCATAGTGGAGATTCACTGATGTGCCAAGGCTTCCACTGGATTTATGTCTAGAATTTGTGGTGGAAATTTAGAAAGCTTTCCCCCTCCTCCTCTCTTTAAAGCATAGAAGCTTGCATATTTGGTATGATGGCTATTTTGAATGAATTTTAAACTACTGTTAGTGGTTCAAAAATGAAGATGTCAAATTTTAAATGTTTATTATGTTTTAATAATTTATGTTTTCGAAGGCCTGTTATATTTCTAAAATAGATGACTAATGTTTCTTCCTGGTCTGTCTTAATTTGGATGCTTAGCTTTAGGACAGTATCCGACAGACGAGCATTTGACCGAAAGAAGCAGATGAAGAACACTTCCCCTTATAGAAATAACCAATGTGTTTTGTGTCTTCCCACCCTCCCTTGTGTCTTATCCCTTCCCATTCCCTGCTATATCAGCATCCTTTGCACTCCCACCTACTCTGTCCAGCACCTCCCTCACCTCTTTGATGCCTTTGAGTTGTGGTGCTGGAAAAGAGTCTTGAACATACTATGGACTGCCAAGAAAACAAAATGGTCTCTCTTGGAGAGGATGAATCCAAGTTTCTCTTTAGAGGCTAGGATTTTGAAGTTCCTTTTCACATACTTTGGGCATGTGGCTAGGAGAGATCAGTCCTTGGAGAATGACATCATGCTTGGAAGGGTGGAGGGACAGTGCAGGAGAGGAAGACACCGATGAGATGAATTGACACAGTAACTGGGCAATGGGGGTAGATATGTCACAGTCAGTGAGACTGGCTCAGTATAGAGCAGGCTTCAGAGCTGTTGTACATAGGGTTGCTATGAGCTGCAGGCAACTCGATGGCACATAACAACATCAATGTTGTGTTTTGTAGCAGAATAGAATATCTTTTGGTGTAAACATTTTAATTCTCCATACTTAGCATTTTAGGTTTGGATGGAGGGTTGGAGATCTCTGATTGAACCCTGCTGGTTGATAGATGTGTGAGACAAAGACTTGGAGGTAACTGAGCTCTGCCCTGTCACAAAATTGAGCAGTAGAACCGGTAGAATACACATTTTGACTCTAATGTTTTTCCAATTCCAGGATTAATGTATTCATCACTTTCTATAGATTTCAGAAGCCCAGTAACCTTTTTTAATGTGAGTAAGAAATGATGCCAAATATGAATACATTGTAATAATTGAATTTTGTTCTATTGTTTTAGGGAGATATAGGATTACCTGGCCCAAAGGGATCTGTAAGTATAATGAACAGTGATGCTATTTAAAAAAATATATCAATAAAGTTAGAGAAACAATGCTCTGTTTTATGAAATTGTTCTATAAATTTTATTCTTAAGAATTTATTGTCAAGGAAATGGATTTCTAAATTTACTCAGGAGATGGTTTAATTTAATGGGCAAACCCATAAGGATTGTATAACTAGATCTACTTTTTGAACTAATCACTTTAAAGAAAGTTTTTTTTACATTATAAATGGCTTGATGTATATTGCATAGGAATACTCTAATTTCTTCCCTAAGTGGGTTGGATGCATTTTATTAAGTTTTTTTAAATATTGTATTGTGTTGGGGTAATAGTTTACATAGAAAAATAGTTTTCCAATCAACAATTCATATATGGATTGTTTAATGACATTGGTTATGATGCCTGCAAATGCACCAACTCTTTCTTCATTCCCTTCCTGAGCGTCTCTTTCCCTTCATCCAGGTTTCCTGTCCCTCCCTGACGTTTTATCTTTGCTTTAGGGTGCATACTTTCCCTTTGGCTTCACACAGTTGACTCTTACAGGGCGCACATTCTTTATGGGTGTCACTGTGTATTCTATCGGCCTGGCTGTCATTAACTGGAAAGTGGCTTCCAGGAGAGTCTTGAGTCTCAAGTTAGAAGATTATTTTAGAGCAGTAATCTCAAGGTCCCTCTAGTTTCTTTCAGACCAGTAAAGTCTGATCTGTTGACACGCTTTTCTCCCTACATTTGAACCTGTTCCAACTAGGACCTTCTATTGTAGTTCTGGTTAGAACAGACAGTGATAATAGCTAGGAACCAACTAATTCTTCTGGTCTCAAGTTAGATGAGGTATGGCTCTGTGGGATCATGAAGTCCTTTGGACTGTTTGTTTCTTTGAGTTTTCAAACATCTTCATTCTTTTCTCCAGGCAAGAAAAGACCGATAATTACTTTGTAGGTGGCTGTTAAAAGCTTTTAATACTCCAGATGCTACTCACCAGATATAAAACATTATCTTTATGAAATGAGTGCTGCCAACAGATGTCTCTTGCAACTATGTTCTTTACCTTACAAGTCCTGTAGTTGAGTCTTGATGTCAAAGTAATTTCTATAGTCCTCTATATTCTCTGTTAAATATATGCACATACATATAGCATTTACAAATATGTATGTAGAAATATATCCTCAACCATATATATCTATGTATGTGAGAGTACTTCCTTATGACCTCCTTCACCAATTTAGTGCATATATTTACCTACGTATCTGTTCACGATTCATTATTGTTGCTGCACTGTGTATGTTACAGCATTTTCCATGGTTGCCCTTTAGTTTTGCTTTCTTATTGTCTTCCTTTACCTTGATCACATTGTGTAACTACTCCCCCACCTCTATAGTATACATTGCCTTCCCATCACCATAATTTAAAAGAGCGGTCAGAGAATATGCTTTGTATTTCATTGTTTCTAAATTTTTTAAAGTTTGCTTTATGGCCAAAAGCAGAGTCTGTCCTGCAGAATGACCTGTATGCATTGGAAAAGGAAGTATATTGTGCTGCTGTTGGATTGTGTGGTCTGCATAGGCTGTATAGGCTGAGTTGGTTTACTGTGCTATATAACTTCTGTAGCTTTGATGAGTTCTTCTAGTTCTTCTGTTTTAAAATGAAAATATTATCTTAAAGTTTACTTTTATTATTGTGGAGACGTCTACTTCTCTTTTCCATCTTATTATGGTTTGCTTTGTGTACTTTTTTTTTTGCTTTGTGTACTTTTAAACTCTGTCATTAGATGAGTGAATATTTAGTATAGTTGGTTCCTTATGGTAAATTTTCACCTTAATAATAATATCTTTGGTTTCTTGTGATGAATTTTGCCCTAAGGTATATTTTATCAGAGATTAATATTGCCATTCTTTCTCTTGTTCTTTTTTATCAGTTGTTTTTTTAAATTCTAATTTTATATTGGTTTGCATAAAAATTGTATACATTGTATTTCATACTTTTCTTCATTTGTTTTGTGGTTCATACAATTATTCCCATATATTGTGTTTTATAAAATTAATCCTCATTGAATTACATGCACCATTACTCCATATTTTCAGATTTTGGCTGAATCTATTCAATTTCCTTTACCTACTCCCTCTACCCATCAAATCGTGTGACCATGTAATTCCCCCCTGCCCATCCTCACTTCTCTGATCCCACTCCTTCCCCCTTGCACCCCATATACATTTTACTAGTTATCCTTCTATTTTACAATAATGGTTTTATGCAGTACTTGTCCTTATGAGACTGAGTTCGTTCAATCAGCATAATCCTCTCCATTCTCTCGTAAGTTATGTAGCAATTTTTCAGAACTGTTGCTCCTGAGTCCTGCGTAGTATTCTATCATGTGAATGTACCACAATTTCTCAAGCCATTCAATTGTGGTCAGACATCTGGGTTGTGTCCATACTCTTGTGATGGTGAATAACTCTGCTATGAACATTCATCTGCAAATTTCTGTTTGTGTCTCAGTTCTAATTTGGGAAAGGGGATATATTCCTAGCAGTGGAATAGCTGGTTCATATGCTGTTCCTTCTCCTTTGTGGCTATAGTTGATGTATTTTTTCCTATCCTTTGATTTTAGGGAAAAAATTTTTTTTTATTTAATTTTTAGACCACACATTAATGTTTAAAACCCTTTCTGCCACTCTTTCTCTTGACGGATACATTGAAACCACTTTCAATGAGTGTGATTACTGATAGGTATGAATTTACTGCTATTGTTTTGTTATGCTTTTTTGGGGTGTGTGTGTGTGTGTGTATGTGTGGCATTGGCTAACACCTTTTGTTTGTGGATTTTGTTTTCTTTGTTACTATTGGTCTTATACAGTCTCTATTATTTTCTTTCTCATTTTGACAAGTTGTTGTTGGTGCCATCAAGTCAACTTTGATTCAGAACAACCCTATGAATGAGTGACAGTACTGAGACTTGCCCTATCCTGCACCAGCCTCCCAGTCCCTGTCATGCTAAAGGCCATTGTGGTCGTCACCAGCCTCAAGATCCCTATCATGCTAAAGTCCGTTGTGGTTGTCATGTGTCAATCCGTCGTGTTGAGGCTCTTACTCTCTTTCTCTGATCCTCCACCTTTCCCAGCATAATGTCTCTCCCCAAGGACTAGTTCCTACAGAAAATATGCCAAAGGTTAATTTGACAAAGTTTCACCATCCTTGCCTCTAAGAATCTGGCTATACTTATTTCAAGACAGGTATGTTTAGATGGATCTTAGCTGAAAGCAGAGAATACCAGAAGAATGTCTATCTGTGTTTCATTGATTATGCAAAGGCATTTGATGGTGTGGATCATAATAAACTGTGGCTGACTCTGAGAAGAATGGAAATCCCAGAACATTTAATTGTGCTAATGTGAAACCTATACTTGGACCAAGAGGGAGTCGTCAGAACAGAGCAGGGCAACACTGCATGGTTCAAAATTGAGACTGGTGTACGCCAGGGATGTGTCCTATCTCCATACCTTTTCAACCTATATGCAGAGCAGATTATTCGAGAGCCTGGGCTCTATGAGGAGAAGCGTGGCGTTAGGATTGATGGAAGATCAATCAACAATCTGCGTTATGCAGATGACACAACCCTGCTTGCTGAAACTGAGGAGGACCTCATGCACTTACTGCACAGGGTCAAGGACT